AGAAAACCGAAAAAACGTAGGAAAATTGGGAAAATCAGTACAGCATCAAACAAATTTTATCAAAGAAAATATATATAAAGCCTTTTTAACTATTTTACTGAAAATAACATACATATTGTTGACAAAGCATCACTTTCAACTGAACTCTATTCAAAATCATTTTTTTGTAAGCTATGGTTTATCGTTGCTTACAGATATATATTAAAATCCTGTCTACATCCTACCTACCCAACTTCCCACCTATATCAATGGCTACAACCATGTATAGTTTTTATTTAAAGTTTTAGAAATTATCATTTATAGCACAATTGTGTGCAATAGTTTTCGATAAATATTACGTTATAATCATAATTTATTCGATTCTGAGTGTAGCGCTAAAATGTAGTGTTGCATACGGTTGATGAACAACAGTAACTTTTATAATTTGAACAACTTTTCTCTAGAATTTATGTTTACAAGAAGTTACTCGTATTTCGTATAACATTTTGGATGTATGGTAGTTGGTGTTAAGAAAAAGTAACGTTGGAATTTTCCAGTAACAGTTTTCAAAAAGCTCAGGTATACGTATAAGGAAAACGGACAAATTGACGGAGAGGGAATTTTATTATTTTCTATTTCGTTTTCCTATCAGAAATATTGTTCTAAATTTCAAGAGCGGCGTCTTTTTTTAAAGGAAATTATATGATTGTAAATAAAATTTGAATTTTTTTATATTGTAGGTAGGTGGCTACCTCTATAGCATGATTTTAGTACAGATAGATTTTAGTATAGATTAAATTAACAAAATCGAATGATAATTCTGATTAGTGATTTGCTCTTGGATATACAATATATATACAATTTTAGTTGGTTTACATTTCGTTCCACTTGACCAGTAGGCGCATTCTAGAAAAATCCGATAGTATTTGGATGGATTTATTTTTACATCAGCACGCGACAATCCGACATTGCACTTTAAAAGTAATGATAAATAATTAATTGATACGAAACAAAATTACTACAGCAGTAAAGTTAAAACCATTTAAATATAACACTTTTGAAATATTATAGGCATTTATTTAGTTTTAAAATGTTTAAATTGCACCTAGATATACATCTAAACATGTGTCCCTGTTCCCTGTTCAGGATCCACCATTGAAATTTTATATTAGGTTTAAGACGAATATTTTGTCATGTATAATGATATATCGTCTCATTGTGGGATTCCACTTAAATCGGCCGTATTCGAAATCTATTGTCACCAGACGAGAGACTCGCTAATTAACTCGAATGTCCGGACAGTCTTTGAGCCCATTAAATACGACGAGCCACTGGCGCGGCTAAGAAGCCCGTAAGCTCCTTGAATATTTACTTGCAACGAGCCCCTGGCGAGGTCGAAAGGCCCGCAAGCTCAATTGGTTTGAAATATCAAACGCATAAATAATTCCAAATTAACTTTTAATTATCTACACAAATAAACAAATTACGCTTTAGGGCGTATAACGCATCACTATTTTTCTTCTCGACCTTTTGCATAAGACACAAAAAAAAAAAAAAAAATGTTTATTATTCTGACTCGCAGGAGAACAATATTGTTTCTGCGCTTTCATCAACTCTATGCTGTTTTAAGACCATATTCCGTAATATGAGTTCAACTTAAACATTTTAATGCAAGCGATAAGTATTTCATTACCTATTGGAAATCTTACTTGCCTACATAATATTAGGTACTTAAGTATATTACGCGTAGTGTTATTTAAAATTGTGATACACATACGATTAATTATACTTTTAGGGTCGCAGCAATTATTATAAATTTAGATTTTTGAATTTGAAAAAAGAGTTTTGAGAAGTATCGAGAAATGACCCCAACCACCAATTTTACTTTTTTAGGACTATATCACTACTTCTAGGCCCTCGTTGAAACTCTTAATCCTCTAAAATTTGGATGTTTTATGCTGTATTTCCATTAACGTTATTCAAAATTTCTATTATAGTTTCCGAGTAGGCCCGGATTAAGATGATTTTGATTACTAGCCGGTGTGGCGTATTGAATATGTCGAAACTTTACTTGTGGAGTTATCTAGTAGCCATCCAGAGCATATCTGAGCACCATCACAGTTATACCCCCCCAATACGTCTCAAACAAAATTATATTCATAGTCGTCCATCTTCTTCGATATTCTTCAAAAACTGTTAACTCGAGAATACCTCAAAATTGTTCTAACTCAAAATGCAAAATCGGATCAATTTCAAATAAATATTATTAACAAAAATAGAAAATAAAATATTATGGTAAATTGTACTATAATATGATATGTTGATATATTGTTGACGAAGCAACACTATCAACTGAACTCCACTCAGAATCGTTTTTTTCGTTAGAAATATTTTATCGTTGCTTACAGATATACATTAAATTCCCTTCTATATCCTACCTTCCCAACTTGCTACCTATAAATTATTCTAGGACAGTTTTTTTTTTTTTGTTTTTTTGATTCGACGAAATTTCGTGTTTTTTACTCAAACTAATTGGCTATTATATATTTAAATATAATTTCCCGTGTTGACATTTCCCGTGTCATTTTACGATATACATTGATAGCACTTTTTTATAAAAGGACTGAGATTGTAGGGACGTAATTTGTTGATTTTTCCAGGATTTTTATCAAGAAATGGGGTTAACTAGGAATAAACGGAAGAAAAACGGGAAAATGAATGAAAAGTATTAATAAATATTATGATTTTTAAATTCTGATTGGAGCGAACAAAAATGTTTACATTTTATTTTTTTATCTGTGCGCAACTTTTATACTAAAAATCTTGCTCGGATTATTACGTGTAGCAACTTTTCTGAAAGAAAATCTGGTTAGGAAGGTACTTTAGGGAGGTCAGTTTTCTCAAGTTTTTCCAGTAAATTTGAAAAACTGGGAAAAAACATGGGAAAAACGTAGGATAAACGGAAAAATCCGTTCAACAATAAAAAAAATATTATAATGTCCATTTAATAATTTTAACTTTATATCATATAATACGCAGGGAAAACGGATACGTTAACAAATATTATTAAACAAAATACATAGTTCTTCTTATTTGATTATTTTACTATTATAATCATATGATTGGTGACAGAGCGTTATTATCAATTGGACCCCGTTCAGAATCGTTTTTTCGTTGCTTCCGGTGTACATTAAATTATATATATATATATTGTTGACAAAGCATTACTATTAACCGAACTCCGCTCAGAATCATACAATTATCTATAACAGTGGCTGCCCCGTTTCCATTATCCTAAGACACCTTCCTTCGCCTTCGTATGTACTACGTAAACACTAGGCTATAAAGTGTTCACTAATAATGAGAATAAGAAATGCTAGGAACGGAACAAACGACCGCTATCGGTGCATTTGTCTTACTGTGTTCAGGTTTTTGGTTATAGTGATCAGAAACTATATAATAACACGCAAAAGTAGGAAAACCATGACGATTATTAGTTTACTAACCAAATCCAATCGTATGTAACCCTAACGATCGACGATTGATGTTTGAACCGAGTACCGGTTAATGGATGTGAAGTATCCAACGCGATTAATGCGCGCCGAGAAGAGCCGTAGAATACCAGGACATTGTCCCAGACTACTTTGGTACGTTGAACACCTTAGAGCGCATTATGAATGTGTCTATAAATAATAATAATAATAATAACAAAAAAAAAAAAAAAAACAGGCGCGCATCGCCGGCTTTTCCGAAAGAACTTAAAACTTACGTGTGTGTGCGTATTGTACACCGTATAATGCGTGTACACTATATAGATATTTAAAATTACTTATCATTGATAAACGATTATTGTTTTCGGAGTCGCCGCTCGTAGTGATTTCCGGTTATAGTGATCAAAATACTCTCGGACACGAATGCGGTCGCACTGTGTAGTAGGTTTGTTGTATTTTATAAAATATTTTGTGCAATACTCAAATACTAGTCGATGGGGGTCACACTTTGGACAACGGTAGAGACCCCGTTTGCGTATTTATTATACAAACCATGTATCGTATTCGTATGGATTGATCTCGTATTCATCCCGTGTTTCCGTGCCCCCGTGCATCACGTAAAACTTTGGCTCCCGGGCCTCGGAATTTCTCGACTCGGGCTTATTAAACACACCGCGATTACGAAAACTGAAAAACGATTGTTTTATATTATGTGTATTATATTTTTTTAAAATACAATAATAAATTGTCCGCCATTATTTTTCTTATTTGCTTATTTTGATTTTACTATCATTGATATTATTATTATTTTTTATTTCAAGCATCGAGAGTACACAAAATGAAGGTTAATAAACACTGGCGCTTTACGAATAAAATATATTATAATAATGTTATGCTCGGAATGCGTTGTTAGCATACGTTTATTATGCGCATGCTACACACCGTTTCTTTTGTGCGCGTATACATTTATTTATCATTTACCTGACCGCAGAGCATTACAATACTCGATGATCGATTTGTTTTATTCTATAAAAAAAAAAAAAAAAAAGTTTGTGGGAGTACCTATCGCTGCTATCTGGCGATCTCCCGGTCGGGTGGTCACCTAATATTATTATACGCGCGTATGTATACAGAAAACAAGTAAGTTGGGTGCGCCGTCTGTTGAGTTTTCGTCAAGTGTTTTTTTTTTTTTTTTATTATTATTATTTGTCTCTCCTGCTCCTTTTATATTGTTTTTAATCGTATCTGATGCTATGTAGCTAGTCGTCGATGTCGTATCGTAGGTAAGACACGGACGTGGTATATTTCCAGAAAATGTAATGTTATTATTTTCCAACTATATACTAAACTGTACATACCACACGTCGTCGAACGGTTAGCTTAGGTTGTCACCCGGGTCCTTGAAAACTGTCTTCCCGGGGGGTATATACGGTAATTTATATTCGAACGGACGCGTATCTAGCGTATAAAATATAAATATACTTTCGAATTTGTCTAATATTTTGTTATATTTATAATATTGTATTTACCTCAATGGTTAGAGTGTGAAATTACATCACTTCCCATTTGGCGATCAAAAGTCTTCAAAGTTTGGGGGACGCTTGATCTTTTGTCGCTGTAACGTTTTTTACGACGTTTAAAAAGAACTTGAATTAGTTTTATCAAAATCCTGTTAATAAACCTATTGGGTTCCCACGCGTAATTAGAGTAACAAAACCCCGTTTTACTTTGGTTTTGATAAGCAGGCATAACATGTAGGATAGGATTTGGTAACTGGTGAAATGGACAATGGTTTCCTGAAATTTTGGTAAGGTTTAATTCGTTCTCGAGAACCAGCCCTCAATTTTCGGTAAATACAGTACATATTGAAAATAAGTTTTCCCCGAAGATTACCATATACTCAACGGAGGAAAAGCTGCGGATTTTATCCCGGTTCGATATTTGAAAATGTAGAAAACATTTTCAACAGCAGTTCCAGTAATTTTGATTTTCGTTTGGTCTCAGAATGAATTAATAAAACGCCTATAAACTGCAGCCTATAATCCGTTTGTCGAACTCCGATCAAATAGTTTTTAATTGAGAAAAGTCGTTGACGTATTATAAAAATCATAAAATATATTATCCTGTATTAACTGTAATCTATATAAGCTACTCTCTTGGTGGGAAATATTTGAGAATTGAATTAAATCCGATTCGACCGCGTGTTTGGATTTGAATCGAAACTATTGTTGGTGGGGAAAACATCTCTTATTATACGGGGTGATCAGTCTATTATTATTATTATTATTATTATTATTATTACACACTCATTATTTCGGAAAATATTAAATTTTTCCGGAATTTATTTTCTAGAACATTTAAAAAACAAGGTGCTCTATAATTTTTTATCTCTGTTATTTTTTGTCACCCTGAGTTTTTGGGTTAAAACCACAACCTACTTTTGATTTTCAAACGGTAAAATAAATATAGTTGAGGTTCGCACAAAAATAAAAAAAAAGAAGAGGAACTCCGTCCCCCCGCACAATCTCCCCCACCCGAATTCGAGCACTGATTTCGCATTCTTCTTTAGTTTATACCATTACATTAAATTCCCTATTACAGTGACTTCACCCGTCTCCATTAACTTAGGACAGGTTTTTACTTGCTATACTATTTTGGATACGTTACTTTTTAAACTGGTAATTTTCCATCATTTTCTGTGTTCTAATTTCGATGTTTTCTTACACGGAATTTTGTTACGGATATTTTTATGGACACGCACATTGTTCGTATAATTTTACCATAATATGACAAATGTAATATTGTTGACAAAGAAATACTATCAGTTGAACTCCGTTCAGAATCGTATTTTCTTTAGCAATGGTTTATCGTTGCCTCAGGTATACATTGAATTAACTATGACAGTAGCTGCACCCGTCCCCATTATCCTAAGACAGCTTTTTTCGCCTTGTTATATAATATGTAATAAATATTGTTCGTAGGAAAGTAATGAATATTGAAAATATTAGTATAAATTTATTTTTCCTGTCGACAAATTGTCTACCATTATTCTACCATATTTAATTATTTACCATAAGATAATTTCGCTCAGAATTTTTTTTTCCGGAAGCAACGGTTTATCGTTATACACTACATGTATACATTAAATTAACTATGACAATGGCTGCACCCGTTCCCATTATCCTAAGACGGCTTTTTCGCTTTGTTATATGATTTAAGACGTTTTCACCTTTCCGAATGTTTCGATTTTCGATTATTCTAAGACAGCTTTAAATCTAAATTACCTCCGGGCGTGAAATCCAATCCTGATCTTCTGGTGTTACCCAAGGAGACCATCCGTCTGACAACTTTACTCTCTAATACAGTGTAACCTCCCTTAACGGACGCCTCTAAATAGCCGACATCTCCAATTTTCGGGAACGGGGACATGTTCACGTATATTTGTATAAATAAAGGAAAACCTTTAAATACCGGACACTATAAATAACGGACACTGCTCAACACGAATCACTAAATAAAAGTGCACACTATCTATTAAGTTATCGATGTGTGTGCGTTGTTATACTGCGCACGGACATTGTCCGTTCAGTTGTTATTGACCGTCCAGAGGTGTTGTCTTCAATCGATTTTTAGAATAAACAACAACCGCAATACTGGAAACCCTTTCGACATTATTTCACCCCGTTTCCTCGAATAAAAATCATATTTCGAATATCCCCTTATTGCATTTTTTGACGAACGCCGGCGGGTAACCAGTGCCCTGTGCGCTTGGTTCCGTCCAATATTTACTGTCAATAATCCATCTTTCGTCTCGGTCATTATCGGACTCGGCGTGTGCATCCGTTCCGATTCGGTCGATATCACTGCATCGTGCCATTCGTTACTAACGACGTGACCTCCGTATCACGACACCAGTCCGTTTGTATTTTTTAAAGTAAAGCGAAACGTAAAATAATCGCGCATTCAAACGGTAATAATTTACCGATTCGTCGATTGTTATCGACTGTGCGTGTTTGCATTCGTGCCGTCGTTCTTCGTTTCGCTGTGCAGTTCGGCGTCGCATCCATCGCACGCTCGCGTCAACGCGCGAAGGTCGACGGCGAAATCCCAAAAATCACCCGGCCGAAAACGCGACCGTCACGCGTGTCCCCGCGCGTCGACGATCGGCCGCGCGCAGGTTTACGACAGTGCGGTCAGCGGGCGGGCCCCGTCGGTCCATAAAACGTCAATGGGTTTTTATTGACGAGATTTCGCCGTGCGCGCCCCGCGTGTAATTTAATAATTGAATTGTCTCTATTTCTCTCTCTCTCTCTCTCTCTCTCTCTCCCTCTCTCCCTCTCTCCCTCTCCGTCTCCGTCACCGTCTCTATCTTCTCATGCACACAAAACACTCGACCGTTGCGGTTTTGTTCTGTTATGTATAAAATCGATTGTGCTCCCTACGCGCGCGACGAGTCATCTCTCCCGGCCTGGTTATCGGCACCGCGAAAATCCCACGACCATTGGTCAACGACGGGCGTAATTCGATTTTTTTCAAATTCGATTTTTTCCCACACGTGTACGCACAACGCCTCCCCTACCCACCCCCACCGATATTACGTACGATCGCGTTTTTCTCGCGTGTCCGGGGCCGCGAAAACTGAACGGAAACTGTCCGAAACGACTGCGAGGTCGAACTACTTTCATACGTGGCAGCGGTCGCCGAACGGCGATTGTGTCCGGCCCGCAAACAAGTAGGGGAAACCGACGTGTGTCGTTTGTTTTTCACTCGGTGTCGGAGGTCAATTGTTTTTGTCATATAAGACTTGAAATGTTTTTGAAAGTAAAAAAAAAAAAAAAATAGTCGTAAAAAAGTTTTACCGATTTTCCTTAAAAAAAAAAAAATAATAAAAATTCAGATTACTACTCACCGACCGGCGCCCAGGACGTGGTAAACGAACATATCGTGCACTAATTGTACTTCAAATTTTTTAAACAGTTAAACTATTTTTATAATATTTATTAAATGTTTCACACGAAGAGCGCTTTTTTTTGTTTATTAACTTATAGATTCTAAGTGGGACGAAGACGCTTATGGTTTTACAAAGATGTTTACTTTTTTTTTTCTGTCCGCGACTTTTTTACCAACAATTTTCTCCAACTTTTTATGACAGCAACGTTTGTAAAATAAAATTTCACTCGGCAGGTACTTAAGAGAGGCTATTTTTAGATTTTCTCAAGAGTTTTCCCAGCAAATGTGAAAGTCCGGGTTAAAACATGGGAAAATCGGTACAAAATTAAAAAAATATTATTAAATAAAATTAAATTAAAGAAAGTCTATTTAATTATTTTAATATGACATACATACATATATATTGTTGACAAAGCGTCACTATCAACTGAATTTCGCTCAGAATCGTTTTTTCGTAAGCAATGGTTTATCGTCGGTATACATTAAATTACCTATAACAGTGGCTTCACACGTCCCCATTAACTTGGGCCGTCTTTTTTGTTTTTACTTTATTCCCCAGTTTTAATGGTCCACGACAATTTTTCTAAATTCAGGGCCCTCCAATAATTGATTTGGAATAGTAAATTCATTTAATGAATGAATAATTATTGTGAATTGATTTAATTTACCCGGCTTGCCATGATGTGCAGTATTCTAATTCATACAAACAGGAAATAACTCCAGGCGACGTACATTCATTCGTTTGTTTCTTTTATTTTTTATATTTATTTACGAGTATTGACAATTTTAATCATTTTGTTATTACTTTATTATTTCGTTATTAGGATAACATATAACTATAGGACTAATATATTTTTATATTCTTCTAAGTGATATCACGGGTATCACTTAATTGAACTATTGTGGTGTCTTGTCCGTATGCAATTTTATGCACATAAGTAGGAAGTTAGTAGGAGCTATTTTAGTAGGAACGGCAACTTTGTGCCGTTAAAAGTTGCAGCCAAGTACGTTTTTTTCGATGTTTACATTTTTTAACGAGATATAATTTTCTAATTTTTAATTTTTCACGTAATAACACATAGTAAAACTCGCCGAATTCAATCGTTCTCATAAGAATCTCAGCATTTTCGAGGTCTTCACCCACCTCTCCCACATTTGTCTGTGTTTCGCAAAAAAAAAAAAATAATAATAATAATAATAAAATATTCGCGTATTTTGTATACCGATTTCGCAAAAACATATTTTCACGTTGTTCCTTCAACGACACAAACGTCACAGGGGTCGTATTAACATTATACGCAAACACGTTCAACATGAATAACATTCCGTTGGTATTTTTATTCGTTAGACATATTATTTTTCGAAATACAATATTTTTATAATGTAATATTAATATATAAATATTATAATACGATACAGACGGGGGAATATTCCAATATAATATGAACTTTTTTAATATTTGTGTGTGTGCGTGTGTGTGTCAGAACCGGTCTGGAAAATATCAAGGCAATGTGCAGTCAGTTTATCGGGGCTTTTTACTGGAGTTTTCTGACGCACTATAGTCGTTTCCGGTAGCCTGAAATGCACAACCGGGTGGCGTGGCGAACGGGTTATTTAAGAGGCGATCGTCTCTGAAATTATCGAAAGATCAGTGTATGGTGTCTAGAAATATCCGTTAAGTATCTTACGTAGATTTTAATAATTACTTTAGTGCTGCTTAAGCTTGAATATGTTATTTAGTGTTAACTAAAGACCCTTAACATAAGTCTAAACAGACCAAAAACGATTCGAGGGGGGCCATTTTTCACGGGGACAGTGGGACGTGAACACATTTTACACTTTGGCTATTCGTGAAACAGAAAGGAACGGGTTAGGGGTTAGGTTAGGTCTCATGCTACTTATTCAGCGCCTAAGATATTTAAACAATTCAAGAATAGGATTTTTTCGGTTTTAGCCGAATTATTTGCCTCTAAATGCTATTGCGTTATTGTCATAGTCATTATTCCTTTCTGCGTTTTTAAACACGGGTGTCTACAGGTTTTTTTATTACATTATATATTGCTCATTTAGTACTCAGTTTTAAGATATTTTTAAGTTATGCGCTTGGAAGCCGACCCCGGTTCGGTGTGTGTACGTGTTTCTGCGTGTCTGTTTATGTTTTGTGTGTATATAGTATTAATAATATTAATAATAATAATAATAATAATAATAATAGATAAAATAGTATAGAAACCGTCTTTGGAGCTGACGTTTAAAAATATAATAATATAATATTTATGTCACGGAACGCGATGCGCGCACGTGCGAGTATATATATGCGCGACCTCTCGCGGACCCTATAGGAGACGGCGTGTTATAATATAAAATGAATAATAATAATAATAATAATAATAATAATAATAATAATAATAATAATAATGATAATAATAATATGATAATAATAATAATAATAATAATAATATGATAATATGATAATAATTGCATAACATTAAAAGAAAAGAAAAGAATAAACGCGACAACGACGGTGTGTCCGAGACTAATCATAATCATAATAATTGTTTTATCTACGATTTACAGTATATAAGAAAAAATAATAATAATATAACTTATGTCGTCACGAGTCGGGAAAAAAAAACACCCTATTTTTTATATGTACACAAATTCGAAGAGCCAAAAAAAAAAAATAATAATAATAATAATAAGAAAAATCCGTTAGAACGCCGAAAACTCGGCGGCGGCGTACGGTGCGCGGCGCTAGTGCGGCGTCGTCCGGTGGCCGCCGCGCGGTGATCGGTCCGGCGAACCGGCCGTGTCCTCGGGGGACGACGGGGCCGGAGACGACGACCGGCCGGCCCCGGGATGGTGCGGCGGCTGCGGCTGCGGCGGCGGCGTCAACAGGTACGGCGAGAACCTGAAACCGTTGCCGGGCGCGTGGTGTTGCTGCTGCTGCTGGTACAGACCGGTCGGGTGGTGGTGCTGCTGTTGCTGCTGCTGCTGCTGCTGCTGGTGCTGGTGCTGCTGGTGTGCCGCGGCGGCCGCCGCCGCTGCCGCGGCCGCCATGGTGGTCGGACCGCCCCCGCTGGCCGCGGCCAGCTGCTGGTACAGGCCCGCGGGGCCCTGCATGGACGCCCACTGGTTCCACAGGTGTTGGCCGCCAGCGGCCGCGGCCGCGTTGTATATGCCGCACAGCGGGCCGTACGGGCCGCTAACGGCCGCCGCGGCCGCGGCGGCCCTCAGGAACAGCTGCGACCTGGCCGCCAGCACGGCCCGTTCCTCGGCCGTCAACTGGTTCAGACCGCTGCCCGGGTCCAACAACGGCGTTCTGAGCATGTGGTGTTCGCTCAACATCGATTCCATCGTTTCCCTGCGGCGGAAATGAAAAAAAAAAAAAAAAAAAAAAAATGAAAAAAACCGCGCTTCGAGATTTTAGCAGTGCGTTTGCGGTTGGCTTTCAACAAGTGACCGGGTTCCGGAAAAGTGAGAGCGGCGGTTTTAAAATTTAACGCCAATTGACTGACGGGGGTTGTAATAATCAAACGTCCGTAAAACGAGTTTTTGAAAATATCGCGTTTGTGTTTGTGAATGTTTTTTTGTTCTACGGTGTTATTTTGTCGTCGAAAAATAGACGTGTTTTATTTTTTTTTGATCTATCGTATTGTTTCGTCGAGATAAAACGCCGCATTTTGCGAACGGATCAGATGCGTTGCGCGAGATTTACGATACCGACGACAACGTTAATCGCCGCCGTCAAAATGCGCGCCCGACGACGAGGCGAATTAGCGTTTTGGCGCGAGGCCGCGCGTTGTCACTTTTCCGGGACCGCCGCGTGACGACTGCGGCGTTCGCGCTCGACTTACCTCTCGAATTCGGTCAGCCTCGACGAATCTCGGAAACCTTTGGCGAACGGGTTGCTGTCGATTTTCAATTTGGTGATCTGTGAAAACGAAAACGGACCCCGGAAATTAGTGTTGGGTTTTCAAACGAACCGCCGTGTCGCGAAACGCTGGGCGCCCGCGGGACATCTATCAGGGACGGTAGGAAGGGGAGTGGGTAATGGCGGGGGCAATGACAGACGGCGAGGAGCGCTTGAATTTCGTTTTTCGACGATTTTCGATTACCGCCCCCGCTGTACGCGTGAACCCGATAGAACCGTGTGAAACACTGACGATTGTAGCGGCTACAATGACGCGGGTCCGCTGTTGAACGGTAAACGGGGGTCGTACGAGTGGCGACCGTCGAACCGACTCTCAATATCAGAAAGCGAAGTGCATCACCGAGCATTGGACCGACACCCGAGAAACTAAATATTGAATTGGCTCCCGGTAAAATTTCAACCGAACGGTTCTCAAAATGTAAAGCGGTTCTACATAAATATCAAAATGCCCTGTTGACAAAACGCCACTATCAACTGAACTCCGCTCAGGACCGTTTTTTCGTTAGCAACGGGTTGTCGTCGCTCACGGGTTTACATTGAGGTTTACTTATAACAGTGGCTGCACCCGATTCCATTATCCTAGAACATCTTTTATAGCTATGATTGCTGATCGTCATTTTAATAATTTGACATGTTAAAATTGTTAAAAGGATATGCTGATTATGTTTGTCTACCGGAAATATCTATCCAAATTTCAAAAAAAGCACGTTTTCCTGAAGAAATTGTATACGGTTTTCCTTATATTTTTACGAAAAACTGGGAAATACGCCAATGTGTGCGGAATCCGTTTTTTGTTTTTATACGGTAAAAAATGCCCGTAGTTAAAAACACTCGTCAACACCGCATCGGCCTGTTTGTGTACACGTGGTATGAAACGCGCAAAAACATTCCGGCCGTTTTTAGGCTATTTCTGGCTATTCGATATTTGCGTGTTTGTGTTTTTTTTTTTTTTGTTCCGTTAGGTATCCCCGTCATCAAATATATTACGCGATCGTACGACATCGGCGAAATGAACGCGCGCGGCGCGAGCAGAACGCATTTTATTTGAACAGAGTTCGCTGCGCGCGAGTATCGAACCGTATAATATAAACGCAAGACGAGCGCCCCGACGACGTCTGCCGCGTGCGAACTGGCGTCGGCCGTTTACGGATTTTACCCGTTCCCGTCGCGCGGTTAGGCGGCGATTCCGTTGCGATACCCGGTCGGCAGTCGTACGCGATACCGAATTATAAATAATAATATAAATAAACACGTGTATATAAACATTTTTATTTTTTTTTATACGAAACGTAAAAAACATACATAACAATAACGGAATAACGTACGGAAAGCGCTTCTTGTCGTGTTCGTCGTGTACAACGACGGCGGTAATAATAATAACAGCGACAATAATAATAATACGGCGGGTGTCACCGCGGGGAAGCCGCGCGCGCCCGAGCTCCGCCGCGTCTACGCGTAATGGGTTTTCCGTTAATACGTTTTCCGGCTGCGAGGTACCGCATCGCGATCGCGCGATACCCGCGGCGTCGCGCGACGGGGACGTAACGCGTTTTTTTTTTTATTTTACCCTTTTTCTTTTTTTTCCCGAACGAAAATACCGCGTGCCGTTACGCACGGTGCTATTGTGAAACGCGCGTCCGCGAAAACGAGACTTCATTTGATCGCGCGGCCGTGTTACGACGGCGAATAACGGTCGCGCGCGCGTCGCGGTCAACACGCGTCCGGCGCGCGTTATAGCCGGGAAGCGTTTTGTTTGGTTTTTTTTTTTTAAAGGCGAGAAGGAGACACGCGTAGAGACGGCGTTCGGACGTCCGCGGGCGCCGTTTCGATTCCAGTGTCCGCGGCGGTCCCGAAACCGAGCGCGCAAAATAATATTTCTGTTCACCCGGAACGGCGGTCATCACCGGAGGGCCATGGTTGGTTTTTTTTTTTTTTTTTTTTTATTACGATAACGGTGCTCGGTGCATTGAACGCCCTCCCCCCCCCCTCCCGTGAAAACTCGACGACTTTTTCGAATTGTTTGGAAAACGATATAAACGATAAAAAAAAAATGAATTCAACAATCGGGCGTCGATGATAAAAAACCCTTTATTTTTTTCTCAAGTCCTACGTTTTAATATTCCGATTTCGTTTTATTTATTTGAATCTGAAATCTGAAACGCGTCGTTCTTCATTTTTTTTTTCAATTATTCGAATAATATTTAATGGAATAAATTAACGAAAAATTCGTTCACGCGAATACGTATCTGGTATGAGTAGAAGGCAGGCAGGTGCAGACGGTGTCGTCAACACAAATTTCCGCCTTCTTGAAAAAGACAAATCCCCGGATTCGGTCGGCCGGTCGTTCTTGCACACCGGGATTACGCGTCGTTTTTTTTTTTTTTACTTCACCGATAGCCACCGTCACCGTTGTCGGTGGTTCGCCGGGCCTTTGCGCGGAACCCCTTCAATATCGGGACAATATAAACGCAAATGATATCGAGGCCGACGTCGAGCTTAATGGGGACGGGTGGGGGGGGGCCCCGCGTCGTCCGCGCTCTTGACCGCGGTAACCGCGGTCACGCGCCCGGTAAACAGCAGTCGCCGGGTAACCCGGTACCGGGTTCTGTTGCGCGCGCGTACCGGAGACGTAACTGCTCGGCGCATAGGTGTCGGCGGCGCCCCGGAGTGGCCCGTTCGAAAAGTGTTATTTATTGATAATGTACGACGACGGCCCGCGGACTCGCGCGTTTCACGCGCCCGGGTGCGGCCGCGGTCGCGGTCGCGGCGCGGGAGGCTCCGGCACTTCCGGTAGCCGCGGAGTCCGCCGCGCCGGGGGGTGGTGAGGAGGGGGAGGGGGGAACGTCGACGGCCGTCAAACCGCTTCTCCGGGGCTCCCTCCCCCCCCCCCGCCGCCCGTTACTACTCCGCGCGCGGAATTTCGGGCGGACCGCCCGCCGCCGCAGCGTTCGGTTTTCCAGAACGGTCGTTATTATCGTCGTCCGGCGTGTTTCTCGACGCTCGTCCTTTCCGACCGGGCCGGTTATTATTTTATTTATGTCTTTCTCCGCGGACGGCTTTTCCGCGCAACGCTCTCTCCGATTCACGACGGCCCAGCGCTTTTTCGGAAAGGCGATCAATCGGATCCCCGGCGGGGACGGTCCATATTTTTCCGACTTTCCCGGTGTTATTTTCCCCGGTCGACGCGGCGAAAACGGGCAAACGGGCGCACACACGGTGTTAAGCAATCAAATGTTTTCAGAGAAAAAATACTTAATATAATTGATTGATATGACGTACGCGTCGTCACGTTATATCGACCGGACTGTCGTTTTTCCGTTAGCGTCGGTTTGTCGTCGGCTACGTCGCTTACGCACGTACAATTTCCCCTCTACTAACTTCCCGACTTCTCACCTACAACAGTGTAGTTGCACCCGTTCTCATTATCCCAGGACAGCTTTTTTTTTTATTATTTATAATTCTTCGTCACTTCGATATATCAGCCATTACTATGTCTGTGTTGTGCATAAATGCAATCATCAT